CAGGCTATTTAAAGCTGAATTAAATTATGGCATAGTCAATCATCTCATCTAATTACAAAGTAGCAGCTTCAAAAGCTCTGTGTAATTTATATGTTACTCCAAGAAACAAAAAAATCTCTGGTAGACGTATAGCAGGTGACTGCTTCTGTAATTGCCCATGAATATAAAGTTTCAGAGTGATGCATATACACTTCTGTTATGCGATCTGCACAGCCGTCTGCACTGATTTGAATATTTTTGGAGGCACAGGTGTGCCTGTGCAGATTTAGCAGACTGTGTCCTAAGCTTATGTTAACAACATGGCACACTGCTTCTCAAGCACACTAGTTAGGCCAATTACAACTGCCCTCCCTCCTTACTTTAATTTAGTCAAGAGGGAGACTGTTATGATTTAAACGACACTCTATCGGGCCCACAGATGGCATGAGTTAGTTGCAGAGGTAATGAATTGTGCTCTCACTCCCACAGTGCAGGTGAATAGTGAAGTTTTGGCACCGTTCAACCAGTGCCGGCTGCTTTCAGTGTACTGACAAACTGGCTCTGTAAAACGATACTCCTCAACAGCGAGGAGTTAACTGGCATTAAATATATTCGTTTATTGAAATATGTACCCTAGTGTCAGGGGGTGACACCCATTCTCAATTGGCTTTGGCTTGTATAAATGATTCCCATCTTAGTCACCAACAGGGAATGACAAACAACACTAAGCAAGTGAACTAAGGAGAAACTAAGTCCTGCCGGAAGTTGCATTCCTCTAACGTACCGGTAAACGAACATTTCCTCATGCAGAGCGCCTACAGTTTCATAACATCTAGTATCATTTGGCGCTTTTCCACTTTGGTTCAGTACAGAATGCTTTGGTGCTTTTCCACTGCTTGGTACGGATCTGTTCGGCTCGGCTCACTTATGGCGCATTTCCACTGCATGGTACGGTACGGTTCGGTACGGCATGCTTTGGCGCTTTTCCACTGCATGGTATGGTACGGTACGGCTCAGTTTGTTGACATTTCGTCTACATCCAACGCTCATGGCACCCAATATGAGACGCAGATATATATGGGCCAGAGGACGCCTCCTAGTGGTCTAACCCTAACCCTACCCCAGACCTAAACCTACCCATAACTGAAGCGTGTTATATTGACGCTAAAGGGTGCCATGTGCGTTGGATTTAGACGAAATTTCAAAAGTGTCACTATATGACGCCCTAGGATGATAATGCGTTCAAATAGTGCTTTTCCACTGCATGGTACGGTACGGTACAGCTTACTTTAAATGGTACCTGGTCCATTCGAGATTCCAATCGTACCGTACCGGTACTAAAATGTGATGTATAACACTGTAGATCACTGATTGGTCAGACAGAATCGTCACTAATCGTCAAATACATTGTATTTGGGTAACACTTTATTTCGATAGTCCACTTTAGACATTCAACTAACTATAAGTAACTTTGCCGCTACATGTCAACTAACTATCATTAGAGTATTAGTAGACTGTCAGCTTAATATCTGCTAACACTTTATTTTGTTGGCCCCTCAACAGACATTCAACTGACTGTAAGTAACTTAGCAACTACAAGTCAACTTGTTCTCCTAACCTGAACTCTAACACCTAACCTAACAGTCTACTGACAGTCTACTAATACGTTAATGACAAAGTGTAACCTGTATTTGCGACGCAAGAAACCAAACCCGCTAGATTTAAATAGCCAGTAACAGCCACCGCTGTGGCGACTGCTTTTAAACTAATCCCACCCACTTTAAAGCGGTACTAACTGCAGTGGAAAAGTAATTGAGCTAAAGCGAACCGAGCTGTGCCGTGTCGAGCCGTACCAGCAGTGGAAAAGTGCCAATTGGCACAGTATATGGGGTTTGTGTGGAGAGAGGATCAGGATTTGTTTTTGCCAGTCTGGCTCCATTCAGTGTTGTTAACTTGGTATCCATACAAAAAACATGCCGAGGCAAGAGAAATCTCACTTTTTATGATTTGTCATATAACAGTGTTGTAATTTCCTCAAACACAACTAGGATACATTGGCTCCAACACAAGGTGGTTGTTTTTCTTTCTCTCGGTCTCAACTACAGACAGACAGCTATCATGTCTCATTGATGACTATGATTGAAGCAAATATATTAGACACCAGGTTTTCCTGTTATTGCCATGGTAACCTCTACATTGGGTTTCTCTTTTCCTGTGACATCTGCCAGGGACTTGTAATGATGGCTTTCTGTTCCATTAAAGGAAAAAGTTAGGCTTAAAAGGGGTTACAAATCAAATACTACTTTTACAATTGAGTTATATTAAATCATCATAAATAGCAAGAATTTATAAAATGTGGGTTAAATGTATAAGACTGAAGTTTGATGTAATGACTCGAATCCGTTAAAATGGTTTAACCAAATCACGACATATTCAAAGATCGCCTTAAAAAAATCGCCTTACACAACCATTTAATTATTTACATTAACATTTTAATGACATTTTTACACATTCATGGGTGAGTTCCTGTTTTAATGATTTTAACACTCGAAATGCAATAAAGATGTGTAAAACATTATATTATAACATTAGATGTGTATCATTAGCACTTGATGTGCTATCCGTGGCTAGACACATTGTGTTAAAAAAAAGGTATCTAAAATCCTAAACAGAACGCTAGCATGTGACAAAATAAATATAAAGTGTGTGGTTGATATCTTGTTTATTATAATAAAATAGCAACAATGAAATTTAAATTAAAATTCATCCCAGACACTATGTAGAATTCAACCAATCAGAATGCGCTTTGAAACTTCTGCAGCGTTTCCAGATAAGTGATTGAGTGACAAGCTGTTGTACCCCTAATAACATTTTTGCACTTTTTTTGAGTGTACAGATCAATGAAATCCTGCAACATTTTGTCTTTCAATGCTAAATGAAATATATGAAAACCATCAAGCAGGGGCGTAGCCAGGACATTATTTCTGGGGGGGCCAGCTTGTGCCAGTCTTTTATTTGGGGTGGCACTTGATTGTCAAAAACTACTATTACTAAAACTCACACGCGGCTCGTCAGGCCATAAACAATGGATTTAACTCCCTTATGACACTAATAATGTCTAATTGATAAATGTGCGAGTGCAATGTGTCATCATTATGTGAGGGGTTAGGGACCTTAACATGAGACAGGGATGTTTTTAGAGCAAATAACAGAAAGACACAATATGAATTGTCATATTGGGCGATAATTTATTTAAGTAAACCATTGCATTTTAAGTGCAACATCCAATTTATTTGTGATAATACAACAAGTTACAACGGTTGCACAAATCATAACTACTGTAGATCATGTAGTAACACTTAGTCATTAGTTAGTTCCAATGATCCGGATCCAAATAATTAGTAATTCCCGCAGAAGTATCTAGTAACACTTTCATCTGTGCGCTATTACTTACTAGTTTGTTAATCAGAGTTTCTTGTTAGTTAATAATAGTTACTAGATTGTTAATATTGTGTTACTCATTGGTTCTTGTGTTATTTATTAAGGAACCGTATTCTAAAGTGTTACCCTGAAATGTTCTGTTCGCTTTGTGTCTGCTGTAACAATTACACTCTTAGAAGAAAAGGTTCAATATAGAACCTTAAAAGGTTCTAAAGCGTTACGTATTTGGAACCCTTAAAATGCAATGCATGTGAATGATCACAAAATTCAATATATGGTGGTTAAAAAATGTATTTAATCAATATCAGACGAAGAGTGCCATTTCACTTTTTATCCTCTAAAAATCTGCATGATTAAAATGTGATATTAAGTTACTACAACAGTTTAATAAACAATAATTTAATAACAACTACAAATGTTGCAGAATAATGTAATATATGAATGAATAATAGCCTTTAAAAAACCTTTGAGCCAAAGGGTTCTTTCTTGTCAGTTTTGAACCTTTTTTAGCATAAAATGTCCTTCGGAGTTGATTAAAGAACCCTATGCTACATTACAGGGGCCGTCACCTGGCCACTTCATGCGTTTTCTGTGATCGGATAGCTATCCGATCGTGAAAAGACCTGGTGTAAATGCCCCCCGAAACGCATTCGAGACGGATTTGAATCCTATCACTCAAACCACTTCAGAAGGTGGTCTGGGCCGCATTCCAGACGAAACTGGACATGTGTAAATGCATCTTGTTCCTGAAACTACATATGTAAATGTTAATACTCCCAAAAATGCTAAAAAAAAAAAAAAGAAACGCGTGAGAGTGTGTTACAGGCTACATGTCATGCTATTTTAGTCAGATATGACGACGCTACTGCGACGCGCATCATCATCATCAGATGAGCGGCTGAACGCAAGCCAACGCGCCGCAATCTATCGCAAATCAAAGTGAAAGTAAGTCGCAGACGACAAGATTAAAAAGTAAAGAAACGAAATGATCTTACCAGTTCTGTTGCCGCTCTCTCTTATGACCGTCTTTGCTGATTTTGAAATTAGCCGATGATCAATAAAATCCAACTCATATCTGTTGCTTTCGGTGACGTGCACTTCGGGAATTGAAGATCGGATTTATATCCATTTTGCAAAAACACATTTATGTGACCAGGTGTAAATGGAATCGTTTTGATAAATCAGATAGCTATCCGATCTGAGAAAACGCATGAAGTGGCCAGGTGTAAACAGCCCAAGCGCTGTCAGAATGCAGGCACGTTATGTCTCGCACTGTTGATGGGGGCGAGACCCAACAAGTGACAAATCAATGACTTCATTAAAAAATGCATACATTTCAGCTTCCTTTTTAGACCGTTACTGGAGTTTTTTTTTATATTTTTTTTTATTATTAAATTTATTTTCCCGTGAGGTTGGGAGGGGGGCCGGCAGGGGGGCCGAGCCTTGACCAATGGTGGCCGTGGCCCCCCCTGGCCACCATGTAGCTCCGCCCCTGCCATCAAGTACGCTGGCTTTTAAATGTGCTTCATCATTAACTTTTAGTACTAATATTTGTAATAATCACTTTCCACTGCTTGTAGGTGGGCAAAAGGAGGAAGCGTGATAAAGGAGGTTTCAGGAGACACTTATGAAGTCGTAGTGGACCACTCGTTCTTCACTGAGCCAGTTTCCTGTGAGGTCACGAACCCCCTCGGGAGCACCAACATTAGTCGGAACGTGGATGTCTACTGTGAGTTCTTTCTGTTTGTTCATAACCATCCTGGAGGACCACGTTCTTGCAGAGCTATCACTTTCTCCAAAATACATGCACACTTCTGGTAATCCTAAACCATAGACCCTAGAAGTCGCCTTGGGGTTCTAAGCATGCGTCAAAACCGCCACCATCTTGGAACAGGCATCTTGTCATAGGAATTAGCTATAGGTAACGCTGCTATCTCCGCCTGTACTTCGAATTCATGGATTTTCTGACTTTTGTGCTTAAAATGGATGGTCACATAAATGAAATCTGAACTAGAATGTTTTTTTTTTCTCTGGAATCAATGATAAATACATGTCTGACCACTGGAACAAACCAAAAAAACTAGAAAACCACATTCATGACGATTTATGATGATTATATTTCCGTTAGACCTTTGCCTACATTGACACATACACTCTAAAAATGCTGGGTTGTTTTAACCCAACTTTGGGTCAAACATGGACAAACCCAGCCGTTGGGTTAAATTTACAGTTTTTGGGTTGGGTTAAAATTTTAAAACAGTTTTAACCCAACATTTGGGTTTGTCCATATTTGAGCCAAAATTGGGTTAAACAACCCAGCATTTTTTAGAGTATATGCATTAAAGAGGAGGGGCTCCCCTGATCCATAATGGTGGCTCTATTGACCCATTCGTTCCAAAGAACTGCCAAGGCGACATCTAGTGATCTAGTGTGTGTGTATATATATATATATGACCCTAAACACATTTATTAGCAGGTCCAGGTGTGTTAAATTAGCGTTAGATCAAAACTCTGCAGGATTTAGACCCACTGTGAGCAGGCTTGGACACCTCTGGTTCATAGTTTTTGAAGGTACTCCCTAAAAATGCTGGGTTGTTTTAACCCAACTTTGGGTCAAATATGGACAAACCCAAACGTTGGATTTTTTGGAAAACATTGGAACAACCTAGGATTTTTTAGAGTGTATCTCCACAAATATCAGGAGCATTATTAAGAGAGACATAATTCTCAGCTTCCTTCAATCTCATATTAAATCAAGCTTACAAATGTGACCAGCTCTCTGAGTAGAACTTCTAACCTGGTCTGTTTTTTCTCCAGTTGGACCTCGGATGGCTGCAGAGCCCCAGTCTTTACAGGTTGACCTAGCATCAGATGCTGTGTTTAATTGTGCCTGGACAGGAAATCCCTCTTTAACGATTGTATGGATGAAAAGGGGCTCTGGGGTGGTAAGTTGCTAGAAATTGTTGTTGGACATTGCCCTTTAAGCAAACATACAGTTCTCTTACAGCAACCATCACTTTTTTTTTTTTTTTTTTTTTTTAATTTTAGCTACAATAATAGTGCATTAATGTACAAACATCTCATTTTTGTAAAGAAGAAGAGTTATTGGTTATCTTGTTATTGGATTTTCCATTCATTTACAAGTTCAATATGATATTCTACATATAAAACCTTTGATCTACTAATACCTTAATGCCTTTTATTCCTGAACAGCTCAGGAACCGAATAGAGAAAAAAAAATAATAATATTTTTGGATTTTTAATTGGATTTTTAAGATTCCCTGCAATCCTATTCCTCGCAGACGGATAGTGCCTCTGTTTGGGGCACGTCCGTACAGTATGCTGGCACAGACATTGGGGGAAACCGACCGGTCTTATTTCTGTCCCGGTTGACTGTCACCTACCATCTCCCATGTTCACACTGTCCTCCTCATCTGACCCAAATTGGATTTTAATAATTGAGAAGAAGGCCCTTTTCCCAAGCTTAGCTGCCCGTCCGTCCTGATTCGTTTTAACTCTGGCCAGCTCCTTTTGCACTCCTTTTTAACTTCTTTGACTTTTGACCACAGGTGCTGAGCAATGAGAACATCCTGACACTGAAATCGGTCCGGCAAGAGGATGCCGGGAAGTACGTGTGCCGTGCGGTGGTGCCTCGCGTCGGAGCGGCTGAGAAGGAAGTCTCCCTCACCGTAAACGGTGAGTTTGACACTCTTCTAAAAGGTGTACGGCTAATGAGTTTGAGGTGTGTCACTTTACGTTTGACGGTTGCAAACATCCCCGTTTGGAGCACGTGTAAGTAAATAAGGTGCGAGCGATCCAGGCGACAGCTATGATTTAGACCTATTTTGGCATTCACGTTGACTCTGACAGAAGTTTGATGTTTACTCTTCGGTCTGCTGTTTCTCTGGGCTAATGCTGATTATATTCAGTAAGAATTGCATGAGGAGCTGTTTCTTAGGCTGTGACAGGCTAATGAACACAGGAGAATAGCGGGAGACTGGCTACTCTCAGATAAATGACTTCATTACGGCCGCTTGAAATTCAGGCGGCATGCATTAGCCGCGCAACAGCTTTCATTCGCAAAATCCAACACGTCTTTTAAAAGCTCCTTTCTCTCCGAAGCTATTTGCCATGGGCTACGGCTTTGACGTGAGTGGAAAATAAGAGAAGTTCAGCCAAAGTGACAATTGTGTTTGCGCTGAATGATTCCTCTGCAAGTTTAGAATCACTAATGCAGTTTGGTGCTGTGAAATGAAAGAAAATCAATAAAGAACTGTTATGACTGATAGTGTTAATATGCAAAGTCAGACATTCATTCTAGCCCTATAGAGAACACGGGAATTATAGAAATTACAGATGACATCCACTTTCATCAAGTGCATTCTGTTCTTTAAGGGGACAGTGAAGAGTACCTCTGCTTTGCATTCGCTCTTGACTCCTGGAGAGTTCAGGATTGCCTGGGTCCTTAATAAATGTGGTTATGGTTTTTGCTTTTTCTGGTTGTAGAAAAAATATCTTGAGGTTTATGAAAAGATCAAACACTTTCCCATCATGTTTCTCAGCATTAACACCTTTAAGCCCACAGGCAACTAAAGTTGCCGAAGGCTCTGCTACTCTTTTGCCATCTGTGAATATTTTTTGGGGTTGATTTATAGCGTCTAAAACAACAGGTATAGAAGTAAGGAACCTTAGCAAGAGCCTTTATAGCACGCAGTGTGTTTATCGTATTGTATTTGAAGAGTTCAGATGCAAAAGCCTCTAAATGCCATTTGAAATTTTCTTCTAAAATGACCATTTTTATCAAGCTTGTATATTTAAGTTCAGTAATTTCACTTAAATGACAATTAATAGGTAATCTTCATTATCATTGCCTACTGAAATTAAATATACAAGCTTGATAAAAATGATCATTTTAGAAGAAAATTTCAAATGGCACTTAGAGGCTTTTGCATCTGAACTCTTCATTTATACTCTAATAGGAGTTTTTACCAACCTGATCTCACGGGAATTCGTACGAATTTTACAAGGTGGCTAATTCGTTACAATTCATACGACCTCACTCGTACAAATTATTACGATTTTGCTAAATCGTACATATTTACGAATTGGCCAATTCGTATGAATTCGTACGAATGACCTACCCCTGACCCCGCCCCTAAACCTAACCATCACGTGGGTTTAGACAAATCGTATGAATTCGTACGAGTGAGTTCGTGCGAATTAGCCACTTTTTAATCACTTGTACGAATTCGTACGAATTGGTCGTGAGATAGGGTAGGTTTTTACGTAAATGGGATACGCATCGGTTGGTTAGGGTCGGTTTAGTAGTGGTGTGGGGTGCGCAAATGAACTGCGTATCAAATGCACGCGAAAACTCATTTTTGCATTGAAATTGCACGACAATAACTACTAACGATCCGAATCATGTTCTCTACAGTGAGTATGAGATGATGCCCTCAGGTAAAAGGTACAGGTTACCAAACTGTAGACTGAATATGTTTAAATATGCATTTGTAACATTCTCTATAAAAATATTGAATAACAGCAAATAGGGTGTGTGGGTTAGTTTTTTTTTATGTGTAGGTAATTATGTTATGTCTTATGTATGTTGTGTTGCATCTGCTATCTCAAATGCCTAAGATGAATTTCTCCATTAGGAGACAATAAAGGCCAATCAATCAATCACAAATACAAAATGCGTGTTATAGAGACGCCTTTACGTGAGAACAGGCTGTGACAATATACTTTGTTTAACCTTTAAATAAAATAAGAATACTGAATCAAATGACTGTCCATTCATATAGAATTGTGCATTGAATTCAGTTGAATTTTCAGACATCACTTTTGAATCAAAATAGAATTGAGTAAATCGAATCACACTCGACCTGAAGATTCACACCAATGGTCTGACATTAAATTAGTATATCACTTTTTACAATCCGACCAATTCTCAATAGTTAAAATCAAATTCTGATCCGCTTAGTGAAAGTGAAGTAAAGCAAATGTGGTTTCATATTCTACGAGAATGTGTTAATAATTATGCAATAATTCTTAAGAAACATCTGCAGAAAAAAACATACATTAATTTGTTTGTTGATACCGTGCATATGGAGTATCTAAGATTACCTCCTCTGGATTGCTATTTCACTAATTACCCATTTACCTTGTTTATTATCATTATTGCCTCATTTTACGTGGATCTGGATCATGGATCTGTCTTTTAGATTTCAAACAGCAAGATTTTATTTTTTTTATTATTCTTTTCAATAAGCGAGCCCTTTTGCTCTAAAAGCCTCAAGAGGACTGCAAGCTGTGTTCAGACTCATTTCTGGAAGTGAACACGAGAGTTGGATGTTAGACTCGAGCACCTATAGCGCAGCTTTGATGTGGCAACATGTGGCGCAGGCTCTCTTGTTGCATGGAGCTGATTGTTTCAAGTTACGGTGCATTTGGGAGATGAAGCCGATCATTTCACATCTTCCTCGTCAACACGTGCTCCTGAGTGAAATTCAAAAGCACTGACGTGAAGAATGATTGATGACCAGAGCTTTGTCTTTCAAAAAATAAAAATGAAAGGGAGAACGCAAGTGAGAATTATGAAGAGGGGAACTAGAGCTCGAATAAGAAATAATTGACCTATGCTAGCTTGATGCTCACTGAGTAACATAAAAACTAATTTATGCTAACAAAAATGCACTTGTTTGGAATTTGTCAATAAATGTTTCCTCCCAGTTGCCGTCACTGGAACCCAGAGCTCATACTGAGACTCGGAATATAGACAAGAGAGTTCCAGCGTTCTCTCAGGGCCAATGTGATTTAATTATAATCAAATAGCTAGCAGGGGACACCGTTTGCAGAAAACACGCTAATGGTCGCACATTGCTTTCTGATTTTTGTTGCCTAGATCCTCAGATCTCATTTCTCCATGTGTATGTTGAGCCTTAATGGGATTTAATATCTGAATGTGTCCTTATGTTCATTTATTTGTGATGTTGCTTGTGGATATGGCTTGCGGATTCAATTTGTTTGTTTTGTTATATGTACATTACTGTTCAAATAAATGATTTTTTTCTGCTCATCAAGGCTGCATTTAAAAAAAAAAAAAGTTAAAAAACAGTATATTGTGAAATATTACAAACGAAAAGATAATATTATGTTTTAAAATATAGATATTTTTCCTGCATCATTTCTCCAGTATGCAGTGTCACATGATTCTTCAGAAATTATTATATTATGCTGGTTTAACGCTCTAGAAACACTTGTCAATGTTTTATTTTATTTATTTATTTTTTAATAAATAAATGTACCCTTGGCTTAGGCTTATAAACTGTTGTGCTCAGTCAGTAGTGTAGTGTACTTGACATATTGCAAGTAGAAATTAGAAATTGTTTTATTTTTACAAGGCATCTGTTTTCTTGCTGCTGAATGTCAACACATTCTCATTCTAGGGCGTCATCTGACTGACGTTTTGACCATGCGTCAGCATCCGATGCACATGACATCCTTTAGCGTCAATATAACACGCTTCGGTTATGGGTAGGTGTAGGTCTGGGGTAGGGTTAGGGTTAGACCACTAGGAGGCGCCTTCTGGCCCATCTGCGTCTCATATTGACGCTAAAGGGTGGATGTAGACACAATGTCAAAAGCATGACCAATTCGATGACGCCTTGGGATGAGAACAGACTATGAATGTTAACAACATGCAGGGGAAAATGTTTGTAATATACAAACCAGTATCGATGCGACCATTTCTGACACAGTTGTCCATGCGTAATTGTATTGTTGTATGTGAACAGATACAAATCCTATACAGTGAGATCATTAACCTTTCCTATTTTAGGCTTGACCACACTCCAGAGACAGATCACACAAGCTCCACTGACTCGCTCAGATAATGGCACCAATTGTGGAGTCTGTGAAAGTGTGAAGACTCTTTAATAGATGGATGGTTGAAAATGATGTGCTTTGCCATGGGGTGAAGGCACAATGGAGTGGAGGTGAAGTGCTTTAGGGAACATTTACAAAAATGAGGTTGAAAGGAAAAAGGGGGAAGTAGTTTCTAGGCACTTCTGTGAGTTCAGGGAAGACATTTAAAAATAGGGCGTTGTGTGCCCAAGGTCAAGAGGAGTCCAGGTCCTGCGTTTATTTGCTGGATCTGCGGGCAAGAGGACCCACGGAGCGTGCACTATTCATGGAGCTGGGTTCAGCCCTCTTGGAGTACCGTAATGAAAATATATGGCAGTGGAAATGAGGCGAAACAAACCAGGTTCAACCCTTTCACAGGCTACAATCTGCGAATCACCTCTTACAGCACACAGGTTCATGCACTCTTTCAGCAAGCACTTGCAGTTAGCTGCAATCTGAAAGTATAATAATTGATGGAATGATGTTTTTTTTTTTTTAATCACATTGTTTATGTGTGTTTTCGATGGCATGCAAACTCATTATTGGGTTAATGGAACATATTTGTGCATGAAAGCGTTCATGTATGTATGTCAGGAAGAGTACATTATGTCTCCGGGAAAAAATACATTAACTCGGCTTAGAAATGGGACATATGCGTCTCTGTGGAAGGTTGCTACTTCTGGTTTGTGTGCATGAGTGCACTGGTGCACATTTGAGGACCAAAAAAAAAATATATATATATATATACTTGTCTAAGTGTATGTGTGTACACAATGGGTGTGTTTACACAC